TGTACAAATGCGCTTTACACAATTGATGTGTATGGATTGGGATAACAGTTGTATGAGCCCCTAATAAAATGTTAAAAAAGAGAAAAGAAAAAAAAGAGTATAATGCTACAAATGGTAAATCGTCAGGAATGTATGCTGTTTGATATAAGTAACATGTGAAGGCACATAAATTAATCGTAATTAATATGAGAAATATAAAAAATTCTACAACATAAAATCAAAGAGGCTAAAATAAAAATCATTAACACTTAAGAATCAACCAATCAAAAGATGGGAAGGAGCCCTGGTATGACAAGGTTGGAGGTTCTAATCCACCCAGTTGCTTTAGTCCACCGTTCAAAGACCTGGTGATCTGCTTCAGTAAACAGTCAAAACAACAAAACCCTAACCACTGCCAGCAAGTTAACTCAAAACCTTCCCTTTTTAAAACCAAGGAGGAGTTTAGCTTAACTAGTAAGGAGTGTTAACACTCTCTTAAGATATACAATAGCAACTCAAGATTAGACAGAAACCTTAAGGGGTGGTGAGTTTATGTCCATGACAGAATCACTTGGAAAAGGAGGGTGAGAATGGTTACACGATGCCAACAATGTAATCAGTATCACTAACTCCTGTGTGAAAACTCTGTGTGTGTGTGTATTGTGTTCAAGTACATTCCCAGCAAAAAACTGAAAAAAGAGAGAGGGTGAAGAATTTAAGATGAATACATCTTGAAATGCCCCAGGCTTGTGAAAACAGGATAATTTTAGACATTGTTGGAAGGAACTCCCTCTTATTATGAAAGATCCAAGAACGCCTTTAAATGACCTTTAAGCATGCAAATGATGTTTAAAAAGAATTTGGCCTTATGTTAACTGCCCCAACTACCTTTCTTACAAGTTGCTATACAGACCGGCAAGATGCCTTCCCAAGGCGCTGAGCTCTAAAAACAACTGAAAATAATATCAGAAAGAGATGTCTGAGCACCAGAATGTCATGAGGCAACCGTAGTAGGTCGTAAGTCACGACTGCTCAGGAACTTGCATTCCTGTGTGTTACGTGTTTTCCAATTCTGAACATCCATTTCCTCGGAAGCGCTTGTGCAATCTTAGACACTTCACGAGATTGTCCATAAACAGGTTTCCTGGCAGAAAAAGCTACTCGTTTAAAAACATTACTTCAGCAACTTTGAACTTTTGACAAGTCTCCAAGAAAAAATTTAAAGCCACCCAGCCGCCTCGCCTCCACACGTGACTGACGTAACCATGAAATTACCAAATGGACTTTGCTGACAACACCGTGGTAACAAAAGAACGCGGCCAGAGGGCTCGCGTTCCCACCCCCGAGGGAAGCCCAAGTCCGCCACGTTAGCTAGCTGACTCAGCGGCTTCAGCGCCAGCGCACACCTGAGCTCCGACACGTCCCCCGCAGACGCCCGCCCCTCCATCCCCGGGCCCCTGCGCCGCACGTCCCCTCCCGGGCCCACTCCGCCCACCTGCGCGCCCTTTCCTTCCGCCCCGCGCCCAGGGCCCGCCCCCGCCCGGCCTCGATTGGCTCCGCTTCGGCGGAACCGCCACAGGTGGAGGCGCCCCACCCGTCGCGCCCGCCCGGCGCTGGAGCCCGGCCTCTGCTCCCCCACCTGCGCTCCCAACAGCCCAACACTTAACAGAACCAGTGCCCAACTCCAAACCCGCGGAGGTAGGAGGCGGGCGAGGAGGGAGATAAGAGCGCATCCTGACAGGTGAGGGGAGCTGTCAGTCACCTGCACATCCTTGGCATCGACCAATCAGCTGCCTTCTCTCCCCCCGCGCGAAGCTGGTGGCGGCGGCAGGCCAGCTCCTCCCCCACCCCTTCTACCAATCCCGCCGGGCAGCACTCACTGTTGAGGCCGGCGGGCGGTGGCAAGGGCTGTTCGCCTTCCTCGCAGTTGTTGTTGTTGTTGTGCAGAGGCGGCGGCTGCTCGACCAAATTCGACGACATTGTCTGGAGGATTTGGAGCTGCGGCCGTGGCACTACCGTCTCTGGTTCTGGGGCAGCAACACAACAAGCCGAGTCCCCCGCCCCCTTTTCTGCGCGTGCGCAGACCCGCCCTCTCCCCTGACGTCAGGCCCGTCCCGGTCACGTGACAATAACAACCAGCAGCGGGGCGGAGGGAAGGGGCGTTCCCGTGCGGGTCACGGAGGTGGAGACGCAGGAGCGCTGACAGGCGCGCCAGGAATGAATTCTTGCCATGTGATCTGTACCGACGGGATGGGATGAGTTATGCAGATGGCACTGGGAATAGAGGATAGGAAGAAGTGTGTAATGTGGAAGTGTAAGGTGCTCATGAGTTCGCATCCAAATTACACCCACCCACGGGATCAACATTGTTTTGTCCCATTTGTATGCAAAATTCCTGAATACCTGTTAAGGACTCATTGGCAGGTGGACCAGGATAGTGACTCAGCAAGTCACCACGAGAACTAGGAAACCAGAGACCTCTGCAAGTCACTTTGTTTCTTCATCTGAAAAGTAAGGATAACTCCGCCCATCTCAGAGAACTTTTCTGAGAATGAAAGCAGACAGAGGTTAGGTTGTGTCAAGCACATGCTGCTTTTGTTAGGTGCCTTCCAGTCAGCTATGGCTCCTAGTGACCTATGTGGGACAGAACAAAACAGGGTCAGACACAGCCTACATGCTTCAGAAACACTGTGGAAACCCGGTGCCTCCCTATCTTATCCTAAATTCAAGCTATCGACACCTAAGACAGGGATCACTTCTTTGTTGTAAGTAAATTCTTATATTTAAACTACAAACAATATGAAATGACAGTGTAAGAATAATGGCCGAATTTTCGGGAATATCTAGGGAAGAAAATACCCAAATCCCATCACCTAACGTATCAAATACATAGCTGCCATGGAATTCTTATAGCTGTGATGCTGGGAGCTACATGAACCAGCAGGTTACCTTTCTTGGCTGGGTTTCAGAATGCTTCCAAAGACAGATTCGGAAGAAAACTGCTTCTGAAAACTGGCCAATTAAACTATGTGGATCACAACAGAATCTTACCAACTTCCTTGATTTGGAGGGGCCCTGGTTGTACAGTGGTTAGTGTTGGGCTAACTGCAAGGTCAGCAGTTTGAAACTCACAGCTAATCCTTGAGAGAAAGATGCAGCTTTCTACTTCCATAAAGAGTTGCAATTCCTGACACTCACAGGGACAGTTTACCCTGCCCTCTAAGATCACTATGAATTAGAAATGACTCGATGGGAGCTGGGTTTTGTTTTTTGGCCTTGATTTGGGCATGTCATCAAAAGGGGTCAATTGCTGGAGCAGAACATCCTGTTTCATAGAGCAGTAGGCCAGTGGGGGGCAGTAAGATGACTTGGTACAAAAAAGGGCAATAAGGCACCCCAGAGATTGATTCAACATTAGGATGATAAAGTGGGTCATTGAAAAGGGAAAGATCTCCACGAGATGGCTTCAACAATGGGTGAAAACATCGTAATCGTGAGGATGGTGCAAGACCAGGCAGTGTTTTGCTTGGCTGTACATAAGTCGCTATGAGTCATAAGCTAACAACATACATTTCTTTATTCATATATGTATAAATAGGCACATATATAACTACATATATATTTTTGGTTGTTACAAAATTATTTTCTAGCATTTACCAAAAACATCATATGTGTGTGTGCTTCTGAGTGACATCATTTCCCTGTCCAAGCTATGTGCACTTCCCCACATTTAGTACGTTTTCCCAAGAATTTTTCACCAAAAATAGCATATATTTAAAGATAAGCCTTGGTCGGTTAATCCTGTATAGGGATGCTGTGTGTCAGAATCTGCTTCATGGCAGTGAGTTGAGAATGGATAAAGGAGCCCAGGTGGTACAGTGAGTTAATCATTGGGCCGCTAACGACAAGGTCAGTGCCTCAAACCTACCATGTGTTTTGTGGGGAAGAGAATGCTATCTGCTCCTGTCATTTAGTCTAGAGATCCTTAAGGAGTTTTACGCTGACCTATACGATTACTATGAGTCAAAAGCAATTCAATGACCAAAAAACTCAAACCCCCATCAAGTTGATGCTTTTATGGATCCTATAGGCTAAGAGTGGAACTGCCCCTTTAGGTGTGTGTCCAAGCCTATAAATATTCATAGGAACAGAAAGCTTGCTCTTTCTCCCATGGAGCAGCTGGTTATTTCGAACTGCTGACCGTAAGTTTAGCAGTTAATTCTCCCTCGTCGCATCTACCCATCTTTGGTAGCCATTAGCGAATCCCAGTTTCTATGTCTATTTATAAAAATGGGATCATTATCCTTTTATGATTTGCTTATTTCACTCAGCACAGTGGCTTCCATTTTACTCGTTTGGCTTCATCAGTATTTGTTATGGTTGCATTATCATCCAGTGTATATATGCACCACGTTTTGATCATCCATCCACTCATTGATGGCACTAGGTCGCATCTATGATCTTTGCTGTTGTGAATGAACCTGCAATGAACATGAGTGTGTTTATCTTGTGTTTGGTTTTGGCAATTTGATTATGTCTCATTGTTAGTCTCTGTGCTTTTCATTTTGAATTTTATTGGCATATAATTCACGTATCATAAAATTCAATAGTTCAATATTAAAAAGAGCTGTGCAAACACACAACTTTCCTTTAGTTCTTAAATGCTTCCTCCCCGCCTCCCAACCCCCACTATGATGTCCCAATTCTACCTTACATATCTGGCTAGACCAGAGGATGTACACTGGTACAGATAGGCACTGGAAACACAGGGAATCCAGGACAGAAGATCCCTTCAGGACCAGTGGTGAGAGTGGCTATACTGGGAAGGTGAGGGGGGTGGGGGGTGAGTTGGAAAGGGGGATCCGATTACAGGGATCTACATATAACCTCCTCCCAGTGGAACAGACAATGGAAAAGTGAGTGAAGAGAGACGTCAGATGGTGTAAGACATGATAAAATAATAATTTCTAAATTATCATGGGTTCATGAGGGAGGGGGGAGCTGAGAGGGAGGGAAGAAAAATGAGGAGCTGATTCCAAGAGCCCAAGTGGAAAGCAAATGTTTTGAGAATGATGGGGGCAACAAATGTACAAATGTGCTTGACACAATGGGTGTATGTATGGATTGTGATAAAAGTATGAGCCCCCAATAAAATGATTAAATAAAAAAAAAAGCTGTGCAATTCTCCCTACAATCAATTTTAGGACATTTTCTTCTTGTACTCATTATTGTTAGCACCCTATTTCTCTCCACGCTCCTCTGAATTCCCCTAGGAAATTATTAATCCAGTTACTATCTGCATGTATTTACTTAGTCTGGATTTCATATGCAGAAAAACATACAAAAGCAAAGAAACAAAAACCAAGGATAAAACAGGAAAACCTTAATGGAAAATAAAGTAAAAACTATTAAATATTATAACATATAATATGGGTCAAAGGGGGCATTTTGTGACAAAGTATCACACTCTAGCCTAGCTGCATCTGCAGTAATCTACCCTACAAGGCACTCTGTCTGGCAGCAAGACCACTCACATCCCTGGTCCACATCAAAGGTTCTTCACTGGAGCTTGTTTGCTTGGGGCCCCTGCAAACGGAATTTGGGCTTTCACTGTCACCCACCGCCTTTTGTAGAACCCGGTGTTCAGAACTGAAGCTGTAATACTGTTCCCTGATGGCATTTGCACTTTCTTATTTACAATCCTTGACTTACAGGGGCTGGTGTGTTTCTTCTGTGTGTACTTAGCTGAAATCTCACTTAGATGGCTGCTTGTTTTAAGACAAACCTGTAAGATCACAGATGTTCACATAGCCGAACATCATCTACTTTCTTCACCACATTTTGCTATAACCTCTGTACTAATCTTACTGGAGTTGGTTGAAAATTTTGGCTGTGTAGATTCATACATTTCATCAAATGTCGGTTTTGTTATTTTGTCAAAAGTTCTTTTTGTGAAAAAAAAAAAAAAGTTTTTTGTGCCCTGCCCTCCTTCTTATACTCCCACGTGTGGAGGTAGCCATGCCTGATAATGTTTTCTTAGGTTCTGCTTGTTTTAATACACTCCTTTTCTATTACTGAGATAATTTCAAGTGACTTCAAGTGTGCCTATTGGTTCTTCGGCTTCTCAATTCTATTCCGTTAATCTCACTCATGTGCCAATCACGTCTTGATTACTGGTTTTGTAGTGAGCTCTGAAATTGCCAAGTGGGAATTCTACTTTATTTTTTATTTGGAAATTTTGGGGGGGCTACACTGGGTTTCCTACAGTTCCATATGAATTTTAGAACCACCCTGCCAATTTCTATAAAGAACTGAGCTGGGTTCTGATTGGAATTGCAGGTCCCGTGGGGAATGTTTCTCTTACTATTGTCTTCTGATCCACTCACATGGGATTTTTTAATTATTCAGGTCTCCGTTAATTTCTTTCAACAATGTCTTGTAATTTTAGGGATAAATTTTGCACTCCTTTGATTAAATTTATTCTTATTTTATTCTTCTTGATACTCTTGTAAATGGAATTTTTGATGTTTTTCTTTTTGGATTATTTACTGAAAACACAGAAATTCAATTGAACTTTGTATATTGATCTTATATCCTGAACATTTGGTGAACTTGCTTATTTGTTCTAATAGTTTCTAATAGGTTCCTTAGGATCTTCTTTGTACAAGATCATGCCATCTTCAAATAGAGTTTTATGTTCTTTATTCTAAGTTAGTACACTTGGCTGCTAATTGTAAGATTGGAGGTTTGAGGCCATCCTAAATGACTTTTTAAAAATAGTGTATTACTTTTATTTAAAAAATAGTTCTAGAGATGTAACGAACACACACGATCCAACAATTCAATTACATATATTAAGAAGGGCTGTGCATTCATTACTACATTCAACTTTGGAGAATTTCCTTCCTTCTTGTGTCTATTGTTTTTGACTCCTCATTCCCACCCACCCCACCTCCACTGCCATGCCCTCACTTAATTATTAATACCACTGCTGTCTCCATAGATCCTATCATCCTGACTTCCCTATACAGAGAAACATACAAAG